CACCCTTCCCCAGGGCAGTCACTATCCAATGGCAGGTCGGTATGGGAGAACAAAAGCCTGGGCCCCTTGCCTTTGAAGGGCCATCCCAACTTTAGAACCCTCAGAACCGTGGCCAAGGCTACTGCTGTGTCTGCATCACAGCCCATCTCTGCCCAGCCCCGCTTCCCTCACTCCCTTAAAGGGGAGGTTCCCAAGGTTGCTCCACTATAGACCTCCTGCATGCAAATCTCCATTTCAGTCTGTCCCTGAAAACCCAACTCACCACAGGCTTATTGCTTTCAACCAGGCCTTTCCCTGTTGCCTGTAAAACAGAATGCATTTTCTAGCTTTTTCCTTATTATTTGACACTGGAAGCAAGTGACCTTTCCTGAGGGCTTTTTCTTGCCAGTGACAGAAGAGAAATACACAGGACATAAAGAGTCTCCTTCCTACGCTCCTTCATTTCTTACTGAAAACATTCTACTTTGGGCCTCCAGTTTTACTTGTTAAATCATGTAGGCCCTAAGAGAAAAGATTTAAGTGCACCAAGATGCTAGTAATGGTGAATTGATTTGAGACAAAGAACTCAGTAAAGGTCAGCTAACGTTTGAGAGGAAAGTTCAATCACTGGCCAGCCCACGTATTTTACTGTAGAAGTTGGGGTGAGATTAGGGCCAAGATGAGTTCTCATGGTGGCGGATGGTGGGAAAAATGCAATGGCAACAAGCGCTTTCACTCACTCAACCCCACTTTCTCTGCTTTTTAAGATACGAGAATGCGCTGGGAAGAAATGATTTAATGACCGTGAAGACTCAGGTTAGCATGGGGCTTGGGGTGGAGTATGGAAGCTTTTCTGAGGAAGGGATGTTTCAGCTGGGGATGAAAGGAGGAGTTTTGCCACTCTGCAAGTGGAGACCTCTCGCCAAGATGACTTGAACAGGAGGGAGAAATGGGCATCCCTGGCAGCAACAACTTCTAGAAAGAAGGGGAGGGAAACCCCAGGGAGTAGCAGGGGCAGGAGTAAGAAACTCCTTAGGACTCTGGGCCAGCCAGTGTGGCAGCAACTCAGTAATGACCATCCCTGTTCCAGGGCCATAATTAAATAAAGGTCCATCTGTATTCTCAAAATTGAAGGGTGACTTGGTAAAATGGTGCTTTTATTACCTTACTGCTGCTTCTTTTCTTATGCTTTTTTCCCTTTTCCAGTTGAAACAGATAGCCTTCAGAATTGCTACGGCTAATTTTCACTTGGTTTCTTTGGCTTCTCTCTGAACTGAGTTGGGATTCACTTTCTACCCTTGACAGTATAGGTGGAAGCGTGACGCTGGATAAGGCCCCTTCACTGGGCTGCACGTCGGTCAGCTGCACCAAGGCTTGCTGATGCTGCTCCATTATCTGGGTGAGCCATGAATCTGGAGAAGCTCTAACGGGCTGGCTGTCAGAAGAAGAATGGAATTTCCTTAATGAAAAAAAAAAAGCACAAATCTATTAATAAAATCTGGATACATAAGACCTCTAGCATAAAAGTCTTTCTGAACCATTAACTTGACGTATTTATCACTCCCAAAGCAAATTAATGGCATTTAGCTTAATCTTTTCATGACTACATTAATTTCTTACTTATCTTAAACTCCTCCTCTTTTTCCTTTAGGACGGTCTACATTTTATTTAGAACTTTTGTTTAGTGTATTCAGAATAGAAAAACACCATTTTGAAAACTCAAAGACCTTCCCACTGCAAAATACCTAGAAATGTTGCATTACATTAAACATCCTTTAAATACATAGTTGAATTGGTAACATAAATAGAAATCTCCGAAGACCAAAATGAACAAAAGGAATAAAAACCAAAGCAGATTTTAGATTAGCTGAAGC